TCTGTGACTGTGAGCATTAAACAATTAACATTACACTAAACAAACACAACAGTACGTTATTGTCCTAATAAAATAAAAACATACATTTTGTCCACCGAGATAATACAGGCACCTTACCCTCAAGAGATCCTCACGTGCTATGAGAATCTCCCACAATGCATTGCCGTAACAAAGCTAATGCAGGCACACGTTTGTGACACCAGATGGCGCAATTGTGTATGTGCGTGTGGGGAGTCTTGCAGTAGAAAATTCGACTGTAGCGCCGCCACTGTGGGCTAAGCCCCGAATGTTTCCAGGTCCAGGCAACGCCCCTGGTGCTCAAACATGTGGGGTTTCCCATTAATGTACCGGGCACTACAGAGGAATGTTCTACTACAACACTCCCCACACGCACGCACACAGTGCACCCGCGACTGTTACAATGAAGGCTCGATAATCAGCTCACGGCATATGTGTAAGCAGGGGTAAAGTGCTATTTTCTTTAAGTGGGGGGGGACCTAACCTCCTCTAGGGGGAAGATTTTTTTTTATTATTGAAGTCAAACGCATCAATCTGGTGCACTTTGAGAGCAAAATGAAGAGATCTATGGATACATCTCTCAACACCAATATGAAATAGAACTGTAAACAGATTTTTTATTTCACTAATCACTCCCCTTTTAAACTGTATTCTTGTTTTACTGTCATAGTATTTCATAACTGTTTTTCATGTATTACTCTTATATTAATATCTGACATCACATACATCGTAGCATTAAAGTTCACAGTTTACTTATTATTACAAAAATACGTGTTCATTGGGGGAGAGCAGGAATGTCAAATGGGAGGGCCTTGATTTCAAACATTAATAAGAACATCAATTAATGAATGATTAACAAAATAGGTTCTAATGCATGGCTGCTATGAGCCAAGAATGTAAGGACTCTTTTTACCCTGTGAAATATATGACAGTAGCATAATAGATGAATACCACAGTAGATACAAATGTCTTAAATTGCAGTAAGGTCCCTATAAACTGAAGGTAACATGCTGTACTACAGACTCATGAGTTCCCCTTTATAAGTTAATATTAAAGTGAACCAGCAGAAAATGACAGTCAGATCGTAATCAATTTACTGAGTGCAATAAACAGACAATAAATAACAACATGTGTTCCCAGAGGGGAGGAATACTGTAAATAAAAGATGCTACACAACAAAACTTTGAACCAATTTATATCATGACATGGGTACAGGCAATTTGACTTAAGTCTTACAGAAAATACTTGAATAACAGAGTAAACGCAGGTAAACAAGAAACTAAGAGAAGAGGCAAGGTAACACTAAACAAAAGATAAACAGCACAACTAAAGTAGATACAAAATGGGATGGCGGAAAACAGGCAGCGAGTCCAGAGGAAGAAACAGCCGAAAGGAAACATGGTAGATAGAAACATCGATGAAACATTGACGAGTAGAACCACGGTAAACATCAACGCCCAGAAAAACTCTGGGAAAGAGAGGCGTATGTACACAAAGAACTAATAACTAACAAAAGACAGGGCGGGGCAAACAATCACAAAAAGGCGGGAAGAAAACCAAAAGGGCGGGAAAACAAAGACAGAGTGAACAGTTATTTTACTTTGATCCCTCCTGGACTTAACAACCCATTTACAGCAGAAGATAAGTGTTTTAAGAGATTCCACAGAGCCTCTCGCTGACCTCCCATAGTTTCTGGGCCACGGCGTCGTCCCGAGCCTTCGCGCACGATTCCTGCACGGCGCAGCAGGCAAAGTAGCGCCCGCTCAGAGGTTCGATTCCCTCCTGGAGGCAGCAGTGCAGCGTGGTCTGAGCGCCGGCCTCCGGGTCCAGGAACAGCAGCCGGGCGATGGGCTCGATGAACACCTTCTGCCACAGACTGCAGTGACGGGACAGCCCGGTGCGAACCACGCCTGTAGGAGGAGAGACACCTGGGTCAATGCAAGCATGAGGTAAGACAAGACTACAACTTCACACTAACACAACCTTCATCACAGGTGTGGTGGGTTGTACCCAGTGGTGACTGGTCATTAGGGCACAGCCCCACCTAGTGTCAGCAGAAAGTATTAAAAATAATGATTACAAAAAAATGCAAAAAAATAAAATATATTTTAAGATCATGTTTAATCATCTGATTCGTCTGTACATTGCTGTTTTAGTCTGTGTTCTTCTAATTAGTGTCTACAGTGTGTGCCTATTGAGCTGTTTAGAGCCATGTGGGACAAAACCCGATCATGCCCCTCCCTCTCACTGTCTAAGTGAACATTGACTGTAAAAACTACACTGCGCATGCTCAGAGTATTGTCCTATTTAATGTGTGTGGCAAAAAAATAATGACCATAGGGGCATAGAGCTGCCATCCCCACCATACGTCATCTCACATAATTCAGAGCTGATTGGCTGTAAGTACGTGTGCCGCGAAAAGTGTGGTGTGTGAAGAGGAGACGAGAGAGCTGCATTGACGCATCCTAAAACCCGGAAGTAAGCTGCGCATGGCTTCCCTCCACAAAAAAGCAATGACATTTCTCCATAGGATTTTAGAAAATAGCTCAAAATAAGATCTGTGGGAAACAAACCTGTTAAATAAATGCATGTTTTGTTCAGCCAGATAATATCCACATGTCTACCCTACTTTTATAATTTTTGAATCATAAATCTATCGATTAGATTTATGATTCAACTTTTGAAACTAGAAGAAGATAAGGAGAACTTTTACAAAAAAGTAATAGAGATTTTAGTCCAGTAGGATAGTACTTGGTGTAGTAGCGGCTATTAGCTTTCAATTTGCCTGTTTTAAAGGTTACCCGTCCCCTTGTGTGTCATGATGGTTTTTCTGCTAGTGGAGCCTCACAGATGGGGGTGCTGCAACCCCCTCAGCACCCCCCCCTTCCCGCGTGCATTTGCGATCTCTTGCTGTCTCGCAGACCCCACGCAGCAAGCAGGATATTAACCCAGCTCACACTGTCTGCTCCTCGCAGCAGCGAGCCCCGCAACGTCCCCCCCAACACGGCACCAAGACCCCACGCAGCATTCTCATCTGTTTGTCATTACTGGTGTCATTTTTCTGGTTGCTAACAAACGCCATTGTAAAACATAATCACTGGTGTTCTGCTGTAACGGTGGTGGACTCAGAACAGAGTGGGAGAGCTGACCAATCAGAGCACAGTGGGCTCACAGGGAGGGGGGAGGCAGGAGCTCCAACAAGCCGTTTAGGACAGAGAGTGAATACACATACTATACAGAGATGCTGTGAGAAACCAATGTGAGTTTGGAAAATTGAACAATGTAAATCTATTCTAGTAGACCTCAACAATGGAATTATGATCAGTAGAAATGGCCAAGACATGGGTCCTTTAAGATGCATTTCAATTTGCATTAGGAAATGTGAGTAATAGCAATTGAAATTAAGTTTATAACAGCTCTAAAAAGTGTTTCCACTTGGCTGTGCAATATATTTGCGTTTTATTTGATGCAAATGTAGATTTTTGTAGGACGACCCAGATGTTAGCATCACAAAGGCTCCCTTGACAAAAAGCAAATAGGCTCTGTGGCACGTTTATGATAGTTATGTGTTTTTTTCAGCAGGATAATCTCCACATATTAACACCACTTTATATCATTTTTTACGTAAAAGCTAAAGTTAAGCTATAAAAGGAACTACAGCACGGTCACATGACTTCACATCACCACCGCTAAGCTAAAGCTGGCTAATGTTGGGCTATAAAGGAACTACAGCACGGTCACATGACTTCACGTCACCACCGCTAAGCTAAAGGTGGCTAATGTTGGGCTATAAAGGAACTACATCACGGTCACATGACTTCACGTCACCACCGCTAAGCTAAAGGTGGCTAATGTTGGGCTATAAAGGAACTACAGCACGGTCACATGACTTCACGTTACCTCCGCTAAGCTAAAGGTGGCTAATGTTGGGCTATAAAGGACCTACAGCACGGTCACATGACTTCACGTCACCACCGCTAAGCTAAAGGTGGCTAATGTTGGGCTATAAAGGACCTACAGCACGGTCACATGACTTCACGTCACCTCCACTAAGCTAAAGGTGGCTAATGTTGGGCTATAAAGGACCTACAGCACGGTCACATGACTTCACGTCACCACCGCTAAGCTAAAGGTGGCTAATGTTGGGCTATAAAGGAACTACATCACGGTCACATGACTTCACGTCACCACCGCTAAGCTAAAGGTGGCTAATGTTGGGCTATAAAGGAACTACAGCACGGTCACATGACTTCACGTCACCTCCGCTAAGCTAAAGGTGGCTAATGTTGGGCTATAAAGGACCTACAGCACGGTCACATGACTTCACGTCACCACCGCTAAGCTAAAGGTGGCTAATGTTGGGCTATAAAGGACCTACAGCACGGTCACATGACTTCACGTCACCACCGCTAAGCTAAAGGTGGCTAATGTTGGGCTATAAAGGACCTACAGCACGGTCACATGACTTCACGTCACCACCGCTAAGCTACAGGCAGCTAATGTTCAGCGTGATGAGGTGTCTTCAGTTCCAGCACTTAGAAAACATTATTCAGACGTTTCCCTCTGACATGTTTGTCAGAAGTGTGTTTGTTCACCTGGGTGCAGGCTGTAGCAGGTGACGTTGGATCCCTTCAGCCTCTTGGCGAGCTCGTGGGTGAAGAGCACGTTGCACAGCTTACTGTTGCAGTACGCGTAGAAGAACTGCCAGCTGTATTTGCCGGTGCCCAAGTGTTTGTCCACCTCCAGAGCCTGAACACAACACACATCAACAAGTTCATGAACACAGCATCACCTGAATGAGTGAGTGAGTGAGGGGGGAGGGGGAGGGGGAGGGAGAATGTTCTCTGCAGAGCGCACAGGAATGTCTTTATGCGACATAAGAATTTCATCATGTCACACCTGAACCAAAGTAATACCTGAAACTCAAGAACAGGTTCTGATGCTCAGTCAAAGTTTCTGTTAACAAGGTCATTCACGTAAAGTCTTGATGTGACTATTCTGAGAGGTAAATATAAAAAAAAGAGAAAATTAAGTAAGAAGTAGCAAAGAAGGAGATTGTATTAAAATTCCTCTTGTTCATTCCTTAGTATGGCTTTACAATATGTATCAAATTCCTTAATATTAATCAGCAAAACTAAATAAAGCTATAAATCATATTTTACAGACTTAACAACACATACAGTATAACATGAGATAATTATTCAATTTCATGCATTAAATCGCAATATCAGTAAAATATTCACAATTAGTTTTCTTCTCCAAATCGTGCCACCCGACTAATATTTGTGTGATGATGGGTGTTTTACCTCCGGGTCGATGTGTCCCCAGCTGTGAGCCATGGAGGACAGAGTGACCACCCGGCCCCCCCCAGCCTCCTTCAGGCGTCCCAGAAGCAGGTGAGACAACAGGAAGTGTCCCAGGTGGTTCACTCCCAACTGGATCCCAAACCCGTCCTCTGTCTGCCCGTCACCCACCAGACCTGCAGGACACACACATTCACTTTTAAAGATCTCCGATTATACTGTGTTTAATCAATATATCACAAGTCTCAGATATATACAGAACCTGTCTCTGATTGGCTGAAACATCAAACAGATCATTGCAGCATTACCCATAATCCCCTCTGTTTCAGCCCTGTTTCCAAAGTGCTGATTCTCTGTCTGTTACTTTAGATGAAAATAAGGAGCCCCTCCCCACGCCCCTCTGAGAGAGATTTGGTTACAAAGAACTCAATGGTGCTCTAGGAGGAGATTCAGGTGATAAGGTGGGGGGGGGGGTTACCTTGGTTGCTGATTGGCTAATGGTTATACAAGACAAAACATCGTTATGACATCACAAAGTGGCCAAAATCTGATCAGCTCATTTTCAGACCGGTTTTTATAGAAATGGATCAAAAAGAGAGAGAATCTTTGTTCCTGAAACTTTCAGAGTCTCTTTCCACAGAGGGGACACATGTTGATGTAGAAGAGACATGAAGAAGAGGGGACACATGTTGATGTAGAAGAGACATGAAGAAGAGGGGACACATGTTGATGTAGAAGAGACATGAAGAAGAGGGGACACATGTTGATGTAGAAGAGACATGAAGAAGAGGGGACACATGCTGATGTAGAAGAGACATGAAGAAGAGGGGACACATGTTGATGTAGAAGAGACATGAAGAAGAGGGGACACGTGTTGATGTAGAAGAGACATGAAGAAGAGGGGACACGTGTTGATGTAGAAGAGACATGAAGAAGAGGGGACACATGCTGATGTAGAAGAGACATGAAGAAGAGGGGACACATGTTGATGTAGAAGAGACATGAAGAAGAGGGGACACATGTTGATGTAGAAGAGACATGAAGAAGAGGGGACACATGTTGATGTAGAAGAGACATGAAGAAGAGGGGACACATGTTGATGTAGAAGAGACATGAGGAAGAGGGGACACATGTTGATGTAGAAGACACATGAAGAAGAGGGGACACATGTTGATGTAGAAGACACATGAAGAAGAGGGGACACATGTTGATGTAGAAGACACATGAAGAAGAGGGGACACATGTTGATGTAGAAGAGACATGAAGAAGAGGGGACACATGTTGATGTAGAAGAGACATGGAGAAGAGGGGACACATGTTGATGTAGAAGAGACATGAAGAAGAGGGGACACATGTTGATGTAGAAGAGACATGGAGAAGAGGGGACACATGTTGATGTAGAACTGAGACATGAAGAAGAGGGGACACATGTTGATGTAGAAGAGACATGAGGAAGAGGGGGACACATGTTGATGTAGAAGACACATGAAGAAGAGGGGACACATGTTGATGTAGAAGACACATGAAGAAGAGGGGACACATGTTGATGTAGAAGACACATGAAGAAGAGGGGACACATGTTGATGTAGAAGACACATGAAGAAGAGGGGACACATGTTGATGTAGAAGAGACATGAAGAAGAGGGGACACATGTTGATGTAGAAGAGACATGAAGAAGAGGGGACACATGTTGATGTAGAAGAGACATGGAGAAGAGGGGACACATGTTGATGTAGAAGAGACATGAAGAAGAGGGGACACATGTTGATGTAGAAGAGACATGGAGAAGAGGGGACACATGTTGATGTAGAACTGAGACATGAAGAAGAGGGGACACATGTTGATGTAGAAGAGACATGAAGAAGAGGGGACACATGTTGATGTAGAAGAGACATGAAGAAGAGGGGACACATGTTGATGTAGAAGAGACATGAAGAAGAGGATTTTGCACAATAGGTAACCTTTAAAGCCTGGTTCAGCTTTTATATCTGCGATCAAACGCTTTTCATACATATGCTACACAATAGAAAAAAATAAGGTTGAATTAAATATTATATACATTTAAAAATAAATAGCAAAATGCAGTTTTAAAAATGTAAACCCAAGAACTCATATCACAATATTTGAAGCATACTAATACTACAACAACATAAATAGATTTGGCTTGATTGAATTAGCAAACACATTCAAGTAAAAGTAAAACAAAAAATTGAAAACACTGAAACGTCCCCTGAGACAAATGTAAAATGCGTGATATTGGGTTATATAAATAAACTTGAATTGACACCGTGTGCTCCGGCGTCTCTCCTTTTGTCCTCAATATTCTGGTGTCAGTTGAATGAAAAGAAGCGCACTATAGACCTGTGTCTCAGTGCTTTGTGAAGTGAAAACAGTGATGACAGACAGACAGGTGTGCCCGTTGTCTCACCGTCACACCTGAGCTTCACCTGAGCTTCACCTCTCGGGTCAAACGTCTTTTTTACCCGTCTTAAAACCCACCATTTCTCCTTAGCATTCGAAACCAAGTAGATTGTTGCTTTTATTTGCTTTCAGTGGTCTATTGTTTTTATTTTGTAATTGTTACGTTTATTCTGGTTTGTTTTGTGTTCATACCTTTTATACTTTTTTTTTTTTTTGTGAGCTGAGCGATTTTATATTGTATGTATCTCTCTGTACAGCACTTTGGTCTTTTGGTTTTAAAGTGCTTTATAAATAACGTTGGATTGGACACATCTGTCAGAGTCACATCCTGTCTGCTGGTACTCTGTGTTCTCTTGTCTTTCCATTCATGAGTATCTCCTGCTCTCTCCCAAATGTAGGTATTAGACAATAGTTTGCACCGCAGGCCTTTTTTAAGATCTGATAATTTCATGAGTATTTTAATGTTTTTGTCAGTTGAATTAAAGACTCCAGACTTAATGGAACTCAAAGAGAGTTTTTGTGTCAAAAACCTTCTTTTTTTTTAATGGTTTACAATCATGTTTTATCAGTTTATCATGTTTGGTACATACAATCTGTAAAGTAACATACATGTATTTACCTCTTAGATATTGTTGAGTAAATAGAAGTATATGGTAGCATATAATAGAGATAATCAAGTAACTTACAAGTGCAGTATTTGATTAAATGTATGTGACCACTGTTGACATGATTTAGGGGAACTAATAAGGATTTCACTTTAGTATAGTTACCAGAATGTGCAGTTGTTAAGGTTTCGATTGTATTCTCGTCCTAACTTTAATATAATGTTATGGTTTGAATCAAACGTTTATGTAACTGTGTGTGTGTGTGTGTGTGTGTGTGTGTGTGTGTGTGTGTGTGTGTGTGTGTGTGTGTGTGTGTGTGTGTGTGTGTGTATGTGGGTGTGTGTGTGTGGTCTAGCATTACTATACTTGTGGGGACCTAAATCTGTTTACATAGTCACGTGTGGGGACTGGCTTCCCTTATGGGGACAAATTGGAGGTCCCCATGAGGGGGATCATTAATTTTAGGGTGAAGACTTGGTTAGGTTAAGGTTAAGGGTTAGGGTTAGGCATGTGTTGGTTATGGTTAAGGTTAGGATAAGTCTCCAGGAAATGCATGTAAGTCAATGTAATGTCCCCTGAAGTGATGTATACGTGTGTGTGTGTGTGTGTGTGTGTGTGTGTGTGTGTGTGTGTGTGTGTGTGTGTGTGTGTGTGTGTGTGTGTGTGTGTGTGTGTGTGTGTTTACCGGCGTTGTTAATGAGCAGGTCCAGTCTGGACTCGGTCTTCAGGAACATTTCTGCGAAGCTGCGGACGGACTTCATGCTGGCCAGGTCCAGCTCCATGTAGAACACATCAGTACTTCCTGTTTCCTGCAACAAGATCATCGTCAGGTCAAGAGGAAAAAAACATACAATCTACACTTTAGTAAAATTACTTAGAGGCCCTATTATGCTTTTTGGGGTTTTCACTTTCCTGAAGTGTGTTGTATAGGTTTTAGTGCATGTAAAGGGTATCCTTTGTTTACTTCTGGAACACAGTGACATCAGTATTCAACACTTGTGCTTCTATTGGCTAGCGCACATTGTACGTGATAGGCTAAGGGGCGGGACATCTCTAAGCTGTTGACCAATCACAACAGAGCCGGCCAGCTAACCAATCAGAGCAGACTGGGCTCTGGTTTCAGACAGAGGGTGAAAAGAGGTGCTGCAGCACAGACAGTATGAGAAATATAAAAGAGTTTTTTGATCATTAAAAGGTTTTATACTGTGTTTCATCAATACATCACAGGTCTCAGATATATACAGAACCTGTCTCTGATTGGCTGAAACACCAAACAGATCATTGCAGCATTACCCATAATCCCCTCTGTTTCAGCCCTGTTTCCAAAGTGCTGATTCTCTGTCTGTTACTTTAGATGAAAATAAGGAGCCCCTCCCCACGCCCCTCTGAGAGACATTTGGTTACAAAGAACTCAATGGTGCTCTAGTACCCATTCACACCAACGGTGTTTCAGGGCCGGTTCGGAGCTGGAGCTTGAAAAGCACCGGGTTTTCCTGTTCACACCGCAGCGGAGCAGCTGCTCCGGAATCCGGTTCGTTTCAAGCACCAAAAAATTGTCCGGCTAGAGCAAAAGCACCGCATACGTCACGCTTACGTCGAGGCGGGGACAGGGGCGGGATCAACTCCTGAACAACAACAAAAAGCCGGCGTTTTATCCAGCTTGTACACAACGATGGAGAAACTTAACAAGCAGCAGTGGTCCACTGAAGAGACCAGCTACCTGCTGGGTATCTGGTCTTCCGAAGAGGTACAGAGGAAGCTGGAGCACAATCGGCCATTGTTGTTGTTGTGGTGTCAGCTGTGAGGGGTTTCCGCGAGGTTTGGCTTTATGAAGCAGGCAAGCAAACGGTTACGTCATGACGCAAACGATGACGCAGCACCAGTCGGACTCTGGGCGGTGTGAAAAGAGCCGGAGCTAAACCGAAGAACCGGTTCTGAACCTGAAAAGCTCTAGCACGGAGCTTGAACCGGAGTTGCGTTGGTGTGAATGAGTAGGAGATTCAGGTGATGTGGTGTGGTGGGGGGGGGGTTACCTTGGTTGGTGATTGGCTAATGGTTACACAAGACAAAACATCGTTATGACATCACAAAGTGGCCAAAATCTGATCAGCTCATTTTCAGACAGGTTTTTATAGAAATGGATCAAAAAGAGAGAGAATCTTTGTTCCTCAAACTTTCAGAGTCTCTTTCCACAGAGGCGACACATGTTGATGTAGAAGAGACATGAAGAAGAGGGGACACATGTTGATGTAGAAGAGACATGAAGAAGAGGGGACACATGTTGATGTAGAAGAGACATGAAGAAGAGGGGACACATGTTGATGTAGAAGAGACATGAAGAAGAGGGGACACATGTTGATGTAGAAGAGACATGAAGAAGAGGGGACACATGTTGATGTAGAAGAGACATGAAGAAGTGGATTTTGCATAAGGTGACCTTTAAAGCATGGAGACATGTCACAGTAGAGACGCTACATATGAATAGGGTTGGGTACCGGTTGGGTACCGGTTCGGAACCGGTTCTCGGTTCCAACATTTCGATTCCAACGGCATCATTTAGAAATGTGAATTTCGGTTCCGCTTTTCGATGACTGAGGAAATGTTTCTCGCCGCTCTCCGTAGCCTACTGTAGGACTGCGGCGGGGCGGGAAATGTAGCGTTGTACCTACACTTCCTACAGCGTAACCTGGGACCAGGGCCGGCCCGTCGCACTGGCGTTATAGATGTTCGCCTAGGGCGCCAGATCTGGGAGGTGCTGCGCTGACAGCTCTGGGAAGGAAAAAAAATGTTTTGACCGTTGGAGCTCATCCTAATTTTCGGCCTTGATGTAACAACATTCATAATTAAGTAAATGTAACACGCTTTTTATCCCGGTTACACTTTTCATTTGCCCTGTACGATGGGCGCTGTAAGTGATGAAAATGGGGGATGTTGGCTTATCTGGCGCCCGCAGCTCACAGCCAAAGTGCGAGTGAGCGTGGGGGCGAGCGAGGGAGAAAGGGAGGGTGCACCGGTACCAGCGCTGTTGTTATTAGCATCTGGTGCTAGCTGCTCTAACAGAAGAAGAAGATGTTTCTACAATGATGTGGAGGGAGAGTCCTCTCCAGTCAGACTGAGAGGCTGATAACTACAGCTCAGTGAGGTAAAGGACTCTGAGGGTTTAGATAGTTCACTTTAGTCTAAGTTATCTCAGTGGGTCTCAAACGGTTTGATCACAATTTATGTAAACAAATATTTCCAAGGCACTCCTTTATAATTATTGGGATAAAACAGGTTTCCTTTAAAAGTTGCACTGTTGTAGCTTCAGTGGTTCTCAGGTTACAGTTACATAGCAGTGAATATAAACAGACTGATTAATGTGAATATTACTGTAAATGAACCTGTGTAAAAGTTTCTCGAATAAATGTAATTTTTTTTTGGTGGAAGAAGCATGTATCATTTTTTTACCCTGCCCCTCAAAGAATCGGAATTGAGAACCGTTAAGAACCGGAATCGAAAAGTAGAATCGGAATCAGAATCGTGGAAATTCAAACGATACCCAACCCGACATATGAATGTACATAGGTTTGTATTATTGTATTCTTAGTGTCAGGAGTAATTGTTGTTTTCTACCCCCACCTGTTGTATATCAGCGATGGCGTCCTGGGCCTTGTCCCGGTTGCGGCAGGCGAGGATCACTTTGGCCCCCCGGCCGGCCAGGCGCAGAGCCGTGGCTTTACCGATGCCCGTGTTCCCGCCTTCAGAAGCAACAACACAGCATGTCAGCAAATAATTATGAAACAGTTCTGATCAATGTATGTCTGTTTCTGTTTATTGTTTTAAAGGAAATGTGATTTTGAAAATGATCTGAAGATTTGGCAAGTTGTGTAAGAATAAACCTGGGATTTGGCTTTAAAGTAGATATTGAAGTGCTCAGGAACATTTCCTTTTATAATCGGGGGACTATTGTTGCCTGATAATGCAACTGCAATATGATTTGCGATATAATAGGTGATGACAATTATTTAATCAGATTTCACATTATCATTGAAACAAGAGCGTCTGTACCACACAAGGGTTTCTCCGTATACTAATCTGTAAACTGGAACTACTCTGCACCTCTACAATACTTCACATTCAGATATTATCACATATTTTGCCCTTACTAATTATTGTACTTACTGATCATGAAGTAGTACATCATGCGATTTTGATAACATTTCAGTTCATTGTGCAGTAAATCAATGTTTTTTTATGTAATCATTCAAATATATCAACATTTACTGGATGGATCGTCCCCAATTTGGGTACGACCAATCATTGTCCCCAGAGGATGAATCATACTGACTCTGGTGATCCTCTGACTTTCCTTCTAGCGTCACCAGAAGGTAGACTTTTCAGTTTTCTTGTGAAATACCGGATGGATTGTGATGAAATGCGCTTCCTCTCAGGGTTGATTATATAGTTACTTTGCAACCCTCTGACATTCCATCTGCTGCCTCACTGGATCAACATTTTGATTTATGCAGAACTAATGACGTTCCCTTCAGACTGAGCTTTCTTTGTTTTCACTGCTTAACGTTGACTTGGCTGACAGGAAGAACAAGTCGAATGTCTGCGAGTTCAAACCTAACCCCCTTTTGTTTGTTGATGCAGTTCAGAGAGCAAGGTATAGAGCAAAGACAACTGGATAAAAAGAAGTCAATAATGAAAAGGAAATTATCATTTAGTTTCTTAATTAGGGAATAATACTAATGGTTATTCGTTTTATCAAGGAAACTATATTCTTCAATTAATAAATGAGTCAGAAAATTGTAAAAAGGTCTTTAAAAATCTGAAACAACGTGACAGTGATTGGTGACTTTTGCTAAACAAGTAAAAATATGAATTGATCCACATTATCCTTGTTTAATTAGTCTTTCTAGCGATTCACTGTTTCAGTGTTCAGCCTGATTTATTCTGACATTTAAATAACAAATAAAGCAGTTTCTGAAATATCACACTTTTAAAAAAGGACTTCAATCCGTGTATCTACCGTCCAATTGTTTTTCTTATTAAACAAGTAAACAGAAGAGCGTCTGAGAGGCGTTTTTGCTTTTTACCTTACTAATGGTCTAATGGTCATTGGAGCGAGGGGCGGGGCCAAACTCCCGGAAGTGATTTCAAAACAAAAGCACTCGTGTGCTTGGAACGGTGATAATATTATAAACAAGGTGAATTTAGCGATCACAACGAAAACGGCCAAGACACATATTGAGCCCAGAAAATGAATGATATTAAGGGCTGTATTTATAAAAGGCCTAAGTCTAAAATGGACAACATTGTTAGGAGATTTAAACTACAGCGATTCTGCACTGCGGTCACTCCGCCGTCTCTCGAGTTTGTTTTTTCAATTTCAGATGCTCTTCATTTTTTGTCCTGCTATATTTGATGATCGATAGCGATACAAGCAGTGCTTGAATTGGGCTGGTACTCACCGGTACGCAGTACCGGCACTTCTCATTTTTACGCATGTGGTACCGGCACTTCTTACTGAGTGGAGTCCTGTGGCAAGGTGCCGGTACTCATTAAAATGCCGGTACTCAGCCGTCTGTGGCATCTCATGACGCATCTATGACGCTCCGCAGCGATAGACTAGAGCAGAAAAGACATCACATAACGTTAGCATTTCGAAAATGTTAGCGTGTCTTCATAATAGTGCGAAAATACAGCGGTTGTCACCGGACAAGGATTCCCTCTCTCCTTTCCTGCTGATTCGTGCTGAGCAGTGGGTAGGCATTAGGGGCAAAGCCCTCGAATGGTTTAGGTCGTATCTGACTTGTAGGACTTTCTGCATCAGCCTTGGGGACTCTGAGTCCTCGTTTGCTCCTCTCCTTTGTGGGGTTCCACAGGGTTCAGTGTTAGGCCCCCTGTTATTCTCCCTGTATTTGCTCCCTCTTGGGTCCATTCTTAGGAAGCACGGTATCGCTTTCCATTGCTATGCAGACGATTGCCAAATATATGTGCCACTTAAAAAGAACGACTCATTTTCAATTAAACCGCTGTTAAACTGCCTTGAAGACATTAAATCCTGGATGTCATGCAACTTTTTAAAATTAAATGATGACAAAACCGAAGTGATGGTTTTTGGTGCCCCTCGGACCACTCCGATAGACCTAGGATCCCTGGGCCACTCCACCAGGCCTACCATCACAAATCTTGGGATAAAGATGGACCCTGAACTCAAGCTTGACAGCCAGATCAAGGCAGTTGTTAAAAATAGCTTCTTCCACCTCAGGCAGCTAGCCAAAAGAAAGCCTTTTTTAAGTAGTGACCTTTTTGAAACGGTAATCCATGCCTTCGTCACCTCCCGCTTGGATTATTGTAATGCACTATATATGGGGATAAGTGCATCCTCCCTTGCTCGCCTGCAGATGGTGCAAAATGCAGCAGCACGGCTACTAACTGGCACACGCAAATACGAGCACATTTCCCCCATTTTATCTTCACTCCACTGGCTGCCCGTTCATTTGAGGATTCATTTTAAAACTCTTTTATTTACTTTTAAAGCCCTCAATGGCCTGGCCCCGCCCTACCTCTCTGAGCTGTTACACAGCTACACGCCCACTCGCACTCTCAGGTCAGCTGATCAGTTGCTCCTGAGGGTGCCAAAAACAAAGTCTAAGCGTAGAGGGGACCGTGCTTTCTCTGCTGCCGCCCCTAAACTGTGGAACGACCTGCCCTTGCTCATCAGACAGGCTCCCACACTGACTGCTTTTAAATCTCGTCTTAAAACCCACCTCTTCTCCTTGGCATTCAGAAACAAGTAGATTGTTGCTTTTATTTGCTTTCAGTGGTCTATTGTTTTTTATTATATGGCTGTTATTTATTTTTTAATTATTACGTTTATTCTGGGTTGTTTTGTGTTTGTATCTTGTATTTTAAATGTATTTATATTATGTTGTGTGAGCTTATCTCTCTGTACAGCACTTTGGTCTGAAGGTTTTTAAAGTGCTATATAAATAAAGTTGGATTGGATTGGATTGGAAGATGGTGAGTGTACTCAGGGACGAGGTGTAATTTAACCAGCCGCCAGTAGGAGTCAGGCTTGACTTTCTTTTATATCCAAAGAAAAAGTAAATCTGTTTACAGTTGTTTCATATGGATGTTGAGAGGTATCCATATATCTCTTCATTTTGCTCTCAAAGTGCACCACATTGATGCATCTAACTTCAATATTTAAAAAATAAATCTTCCAGGGGGAGCATGCCCCCGGACCCCCCTAGTGTGTCAGGTCCACTCCCCACTTATAAAAATAGTACTTTACCCCTGCACCCCCTCTAATTTCAGATGCACCCTGAGTCATTTTGTTTAAGTACAGTGAGCCTTTGTAAAATATACAGTAAAGAGACAAAACCACCAGCATTAAAGGATATACTATATGACTTTGAGCCAAATACTTGTTTTTGGGCTGTATAAATAAATTGACTTGAAACAGTTGCTGATTTAGAGTACTGGCACCTTTTTTATTCCAATTCAAGCACTGGATACAAGTATTTGTTATCATACGTTCTTAATAAAACTGACACTGTTGGACTCGGTACTAGTTTGACTGCTACCAGAAATACAATGAAGTACTTTTACGGTGTGCTTAGTGAGTAATCCTCTGCCAGAGTCCCCTCCATAGTACAGAATGCATGTTTTCTGCTATCTTTGAAGAATGATAAAAAGACAATTTTACCATTAGTTCTTAATGATATTGATACTGCTTGACTCAGTAGTCTTACACCTACTACCACAATACAATGAAGTACTTCTAGTGTGTTGTTTAAAAAAATAAATCCTCTGTCAATGTCCCCTCCTGAGAACAAAATCAAGACACTTCTGTTAAGTTTGATGAGGGAAAAAATTATTTATTTTTTGCCATTAGTTCTTTGTGAGTTTGACACTGTTGGACTCAGTACTAGTGAAACTACTCCCACAAGTACTATGAAGTACTTTTACTGTGTACTTTTCATGTAATCCTCTGTCCCGTCCTGAGTACAAGAATGCATGTTTTTCTGCTATTTTTAATAAGCATTAAAAAGCCTTTCTTCCTGAGACTGACAGTATTGGACACTCCAATGGGGGCAGCAAATTGGTCAGAACCAGCCCTGGTGTCATCCCCACAGCACCCCCCCATTTGAAACATGTTCCCACGGCTTTGGATGCCTAAGTCCATGAGTGGGAAATATAATCTACGTATTCGTCCAGTATTGGATCTTCTAAAGTTTCACCATCCTGGAATAAAACAATAAATCTATGTAGGTTATTGGGTTATTTTTCAATATTTGGCAGATGGGACAAAAAAGGGAGGTGTAGCTCAACAGGAACCTTTGATCTTGTGTTGGGTAACATTGACTCTGTAAACACGACTCTTAAAGTATGTGGGTCACACTGCAGCTTTTCTAAGTAAAATACTTTGATAAATGGTAGTTTTGGACAGAGTATTTTAAAAGGATATGGTGGACATATTATCAGCAATACTTCCAGTCAGTACTCCAGCAGCAGCATTTATACACCTTGGAAAGTCTTTAGAGTCTGGCCTGGATAGCTGGTCACAAATATCCTTCAGCACACTGACACTCTTGTTGGCCTCTTATGATGTTGCTGTCTTTTAATATATAATTATTTCTCTGCCGCTAGTTTGTTCCTCGCAGATTCTTCATTCTCATCAGCATCATCCTTCCATCAGTCCCAATCAACGCATCAGCCTCCAGCACACTTCCAGTGTCTGACTCCATATGATATTGTCCTGATGCTGTAAGGGTGATGCCCCATGATCACAAAATGACCCCTCAAGAGTCTGAGCGCCAACTGCCAAGGACCTCATATTATGTCTGTCATTAATGTTACATCACCCATTATAACAATTTTATTTCCATTTTTTCTCTTCTCTTAACTGAATAGTCCTGTCTTTAAGTATAATACAATGTAAAGTATTTTTCCTGCTCCATTTAAAAGGCTTCAAAACAGGCATTTTTACTGTATGTGTTTGGAGAAATGACACAATCAATGGCCCAGAATTGTGACTATGAATCTTGTGGTGCTTGAAGAAATACACACTGGCTAAGCCGGCCATAGGGCTGTCAAGTTAACGCGTTAAAAGACAGCATTGTCATAAGAGGCCAACAAGAGTCAGGGTGTGTCACTTTGCTGAAGGCCAGACTCTAAAGACTTTCCAAGGTGTAAAAATGCTGCTGCCAGAGTACTGACTGGAAGTATTGCTGATAATATGTCCACCATATCCTCTTAAAATACTCTGTCCAACAATATCAGTCTCATGAAGAAAGGTTTTTTTAACGCTTATTCAAAATAGCAGAGAAACATGCATTCTGGTACTCAGGAGGGGACATTGACAGAGGATTGTTGGAAAAGTACACAGTAAGTACTTCATAGTACTTCTGGGGGTAGTTTCACTAGTACTGAGTCGAACAGGATCAATCTCACGAAGAACTAATGGAGACAAAAAATAATTCCCTCATCAAACTTAGCAGAAGTGGCTTGATTTTGTTCTCAGCAGGGGACTTTGACAGAGGATTTCTCAAAAAATACAGAGTAAAAGTACTTCAATGTATTGTAAGTAGTAGGCTCACTAATACAAAGTCAAACAGTATCAATTTCATTAAGAACTAATGGTAAAATTATATTTGTATCATTCATCAAAGATAGCAGAAAACATGCATTATGTAGCCTACTATGGAGGGGACTCTGACAGAGGATTACTCACAAAGTACACAGCAAAAGTACTTTGTGTGTCAGTTTTCTTAAGAACTTGTGGTAAAACATATTTGTATCACTCGTCAAATATAGCAGGAATGAAGAGCAGCTGATTTGAAAAAACAAACTCGAGAGGCGGCGGAGTGACCGCAGTGCAGAATCGCTGTAGTTTAAATCTCCTAACAATGTTGTCCATTTTAGACAGAGGCTTATTATATTTACAGCCCTCAATAACATCCATTTTCTAGGCTCAATATGTGTCTTGGCCGTTTTCGTTGTGATCGCTAAATTCACCTTGTTTCCCTTTGTTTATAATATTATCACCGCTTTTGTTTTGAAATCACTTCCGTGAGTTTGGCCCCGCCCCCCGTTGCACTGACCATTACACCATTCAGTAAGGTGAAAAGCAAAAAGGCCTCTCAAACGCTCTTCCGTGTTTAATAAAGAAAAACAATTGGACGGTAGATACACGGATTGACTTCTTTATCATTCAATTCAGAAATAAGTTGTACAATTTCAAAAGAAACATCTGAAATTAGCTAAATCAATTCAAAATGTGTCTCAGTTTCTCATTATATGTTTTTATTATTAAGAAACATATCGTTTATCATTTCAAATCTAATTTATTTGCAGTATTGTAAATCATGTTAAAGGTTTCATGTGTCCTTATTTTGACAATGGCTTCTGTCTCATATCATTAAATAAGCAATCTCAATTTTTCAACCGTTCCTCTTTTATGTGTTACCTGTGCTAGCCCCGCCCCCCCCCCTCCCAGGACTCACCTGTGATGATGACGGTCTTGCCGGCCATCGCTGCCTGTCCTTTACATTTGGACCTTTTGAAGAGAGTCTGCGTGAGTAAGATGTATCCTCCCAGAACCACGCCGGCCAGCACCAGCAGGTGAAACATTGTGAGTTACTGCTGTGAGATCCACGTGAGAAATCATTGCCTGTCTCTGCAGCTCTGCGTTTTGTATGCCCCCGCCTGGCGGAGGGATCTCACCTGACCGACCGGTTCCTCTTGCCTGAAGCGTCACAGCTCGGCAGGTCCGACCGGTTCTTCTGACGGTGCTCATCGTTAAACTGAATCAACAGAAACTCCCACGGAGGTTTGAGCTTCCACCCATTTGATGAACCGTGATTTTAAACTTGTACAAGTGAAGAAAAAGGTGATAAAGTACACATGAAATTAGATTAAATTGTGGAATATTTATGAAGTGACAAATAAGTAAAGGAAAGCCCTAGAGGGAAAGCACTTCCTGTTTAAACCTTCAAAATAAAATATTTTAAACTTGTATAATTGAATAAAAGGGTGATTAAGTTCACAGAAATTAGATTAAAATGGTATATTATTTATTATGTGACAAATAAGTAAATAATAGCCCCCAAAGGGAAAGCACTTCCTGTTTAAACCTTCAAAATAAAACATTTTAAACTTGTATAATTGAATACAAAAGGTTTAAAGCACACATGAAATTAGATACAATAGGTGCAGTATTTATTAAGTGACAAATAAGTAAAGGGAACAGTACTTCCGGTTTAAACCTTCAAAATAAAACGTTTGAAAGTTTCCAAATCAAGGAAAATTAGATAAATGATGCAAGAAATTAGAATTTAAGAAACTCTCAAAATATCTAATGAACTGTCAAACTGTCAAACTGAGAGATTCAGTTTGACATATTACCATTATTATAATTACGAATGTTTTTAATTTACTTGTAAATCAATTTAATGTCGAATTAGTTTTTTGATTACAGTATACAAATATGTTTCTGCATGTGTGGAAGGTGTTACATTTATAAATTACAGATTTATACACGGATTGATAATATTCCATCCATCCATCCATCTTCTCCCGCTTATCCGTGGTCGGGTCGCGGGGGTAGCAGTTCCAGCAGAGAGCCCCAAACTTTCTTTTCCCTGGCGACATCAACCAGCTCTGACTGGGGGATCCCAAGGCGCTCCCAGGCCAGCGAAGAGATATAATCCCTCCTCCTGGTCCTAGGTCTACCCCTTGGTCTCTTCCCAGCTGGACGTGCCTGGAACACCTCCCTAGGGAGGCGCCCAGGTGGCATCCTAACTAGGTGCCCGAACCACCTCAACTGGCTCCTTTCGACGCGAAGGAGGAGCGGCTCAACTCCGAGTCCCTCCCTGATGACCGAACTTCTCACCTTATCCCTAAGGGAGACACCAGCCACCCTGCGGAGAAAACCCATCTCGGCCGCTTGTATCCGCGATCTCGTTCTTTCGGTCATGACCCATCCTTCATGACCATAGGTGAGGGTAGGAACGAAAATGGCCCGGTAGACAGAGAGCTTTGCCTTCTGGCTCAGCTCCCTTTTCGTCACAACGGTGCGGTAAAGCGACTGCAGTACCGCTCCCGCTGCTCCGATTCTCCGGCCCATCTCACGCTCCATTGTTCCCTCACTCGAGAACAAGACCCCGAGATACTTGAACTCCTTCACTTGGGGTAAGGACTCATTCCCTACTTGGAGTGGACAGTCCATCGGTTTCCTGCTGAGAACCATGGCCTCAGATTTGGAGGTGCTGATCCTCATCCCAGCCGCTTCACACTCGGTTGCGAACCGATCCAGTGAGTGCTGAAGGTCGCAGACCGATGAAGCCATTAGAACCACATCATCTGCAAAAAGCAGTGGTGCAATCCTTAGTCCACCGAACTGCAGACCCCCTCCCCCATGACTACGCCTCGAAATCCGATCCATGTATATTACAAACAGGATTGGTGACAAAGCGCAGCCCTGGCGGAGGCCAACCCTCACCGGAAATGGGTCCGACTTACTGCCGAGGACCCGGACACAGCTCTCGCTTTGGGAGTACAGAGATTGGATGGCCCTGAGTAGAGACCCCCTCACCCCATACTCCCGCAGCACCTCCCACAGTAACTCCCTGGGAACTCGGTCATGCGCCTTCTCCAAGTCTACAAAACACATGTAGACCGGATAAGCGTACTCCCAGGCCCCCTCCAGGATCCTTGCGAGAGTAAAAAGCTGATCCGTCGTTCCACGACCAGGACGGAATCCGCATTGTTCCTCCTCAATCTGAGGTTTGACAATCGGCCTGACCCTCCTTTCGAGTACCTTAGAGTAAACTTTCCCGGGGAGGCTGAGTAGTGTGATGCCTCTGTAATTGGCACACACCCTCTGATCCCCCTTTTTAAAAAGGGGAACCACCACCCCGGTCTGCCACTCCTTCGGTACTGTTTCCGACTTCCACGCAACGTTGATGAGACGTGTCAACCATGACAGTCCCTCAACACCCAGAGCCTTCAGCATTTCCGGGCGGATCTCATCCACCCCCGGGGCTTTGCCACTGTGGAGTTGTTTGACGACCTCAGTGACCTCCCCCCGGGAGATTGGTGTTGATCCCCCGTCATACTCCAGCTCTGCCTCTAACATAGAGGGCGGAGTTGTCGGGTTCAGGAGTTCCTCAAAGTGTTCCTTCCAACGCCCTAACACTCCATCAGTTGAGGTCAACAACGTCCCATCCTTACTGTACACAGCTTGGATGGTTCCCTGCTTCCCCCTCCTGAGGTGTCGGACAGTTTTCCAGAACAACTTTGGTGCCGCCCGAAAGTCCTTCTCCATGTCTTCTCCGAACTTCTCCCACACCCGCTGCTTTGCCTCGGCCACGGATGAGGCTGCTGCCCTTCGGGCCTGTCGGTACCTTGCAACTGCCTCGGGAGTCCCCCGGGATAACAAATCCCTGAAGGCCTCCTTCTTCAGTCGGACGGCTTCCCTGACCACCGGTGTCCACCAGGAGGTTCGAGGGTTACCGCCCCTTGAGGCACCTAGGACCTTGAGACCACAGCTCCCCGCCGCGGCTTCGGCAATAGAGGCTTTGATTGATAATATTGTTACACAATATGATTGAGACAGATCAAAACCCATTCAATTGCTTTTAACATGTGGGCCTTGTGAATGAAATCAACAATAACAACAACATAAAATCACCCTTTTACGGACGGGAGAAGGTGGACAGCACATCCCATTGATTTTTTTGGTAAAGATGAAGCTTAATTGTCCCACTTTACCATTAACTAATTAAGGATATCCCAAACATTAAAAGTAGGTATTGCTGAATCAGTGAGGCGTGTGGCGCAGTGGTCTAGTGCGTTGGGATCAGGGGAGCACAGGTTCAAACCCCACTGCAGTCAGCATGTTGTTGTGTCCCGGGCAAGACAATCACCTGTGTGTGTGTGTGTGTGTGTGTGTGTGTGTGTGTGTGTGTGTGGTACAGTGTGTGTGTGTGTGTGTGTGTGTGTGGTGTGTGTGTGTGTGTGTGTGTGTGTGTGTGTGTGTGTGTGTGTGTGTGTGTGTGTGTGTGTGTGTGTGTGTGTGTGTGTGTGTGTGTGTGTGTGTGTGTGTGTGTGTGTGTGTGTGTGTGTGTGTGTGTGTGTGAGAAAAGCATCTAACATTTTGCTTTTGACTCTACCTGTTGACTTCACCTCAGAAATAGGTGAAAAGTCAGCAGTGAAGTCAGTGAGGAAGCATTTTAGCTGAAGGCTATTCCTTTGTTTTACACGAGCCTTAAGCAAACATATATTTGAGATTCCTTTGTCGTAACGTATTTTTTGACACAGACAAATATGTTGACATTCTGTCTGCAACACATTCTTCCTCAGAGATAAAAACACATTTTCCTTTCATAACAGTTCACTAAATCTTACTTGGATAACTTCAGTAATTTGAGTTATTATAAGGTTTATCACCATACGAGTTATATCGAGACATAATGTAGCTGGAAGTATCTGGTCATAAATGGATAACGTATACAGTTTCTCGTGGTGAAAAACGTTTAAAACTAGAAATGTTTTCTTTAGCAAAAACACAGAAAACCGCATTAACGTTGTGTTTTCAGATAGTTTATATTAGCTTTTTAGGCTTAGTCATTGGTATTTTCTTCTTAACAAATATAATATGCATTTGAGTTTTCATATATTTTACACTTTTACATAATTTTATTATATTTGCCTTCTTTTTATATATTTAATATGTATTGTTGTCTTATTTGGAGCATCTTAGCATGTCACACGATTGTTACTGTACATCCAGAATGACAATAAATACACCTTTTTAAATTATTGATTCTTGAAATAAATATTTTTTGTTTTTATAATCTTTTTATCTCACAGGTAAAGAAAGGCACATTATTATGATCGAAGCGGCTGCTTTAAGTGAACGGCAGCGCCATCTGGAGGCTGATGGCTGAACTGCAGAACACAGAATTACATATTTACTCAAATCAAGGTTAAAGTAAAGGTAGGGTAGGTAGGAATGGAGAACCCAGCTTGAGTGCGCTAGAATTTGAAAGTACGCAGCCGGAAACAATCTGCCCCTTCCTTCAGACTTCCTCACAGAGCCCCTCCTCCAACACACGAACGCACACATGACCAATGAGGGCACGAGATGAGTTTGTGCACAGATGGAAGGCTGACAGGCAGGTAGGCCATCCAGTTACTTTAGCCGGGCCGGCTCAGGTCGTGCTTTTTACAGCGCCACGGCTTCCACTGATGAAATATTTTATGTATTTATTGTCAAAGCATTTAATGTATTCATTGCTATCGGGATGTTAAGAGCATTCCATGGAATATAACAAAGTGTTTCTGAAGTGAATGACTACCCTACCTTTTAAGGAATACTTTAGTATGTTAATCATAGTTGGTGATAATGTGTAATCCTAGACAACAGGCTTTCAGGGTTTCTCTTTTAAATGTAATGATGATATGGTGGATTGAATTTATTTTACATTTTTTAGTATTGTGTTGTTGTCTCGGCCCCTGTGAGTCACCTTGTTGGATTCCTATGTTGAGACTTTGAATATTTTCTTTCATTAAAATTTTTGGAGCTTGTAGTAACTTCGTCGTGATATTTCAGATATTTTACCAAAAGCTAAATTAAATGGATAACTCATGGTAGACCCCCACACTCACACAACTCACACGACTAAGACACCACTGTTGTGTAATGACACTTGTAATGGCAACTTTTAATGTTCCATTGTCCTTCCAAGCCATCCTTTAATGTTTAATTGAACTATTCACATCTTAAACTGCACTGTAACTTTTATCCATGTATTTTTTCTTTTAAGGTTTCTTTTATTAGCTTTTCTTTTTAATGACTGATTTTAAATGCCATTTTCTTGATGTCTTTCATTTTTTGTAGAGCACTTTGAATTGCCTTGTGTTGAAAAGTGCTATATAAATAAACTTGCCTTGCCTTACTCTTTTATTGCCATTACTTCACAGGAGGAGATGGAGTGATCCAGACGCAGACACAAACAGATGATTTCCGGTCCTTTGGTGCAGTTTAGAATGATGTTTATTGAGCTTTACATACCAAGGTTTCATTATGCTGTCAAAGGTGTGGGGGAAACTTCTGTAGCAATTGGAAACAGGACTCAGAGAGCTGGAGCTTTGATGGAAAACACTGACGGTTTATTTGGAGCTTCGGCCGGAGAATTGACAAGACAGGTGGTGTGTCACGAGTTGAAACAGCGGTTGCCAAATCAATTCTGAAGAACTCTTTCTGCAACTCGAGGTTTTAACTAGTTCGGAGTGTAATAATCAACATTCTTCATCAGCGAGACTAAAGCAATATGGACCCTGAATCTAACTAGAGCTCTCGTCCATAGAAAATAATGTGCGCCAGGGAACCTTCGTCCCTGAACAGTAAACTACCTCATGGCGGCTTGTGCTCTGTCACAGACTGGCAAAAACAATGCGCCCAAGCTGCTCCTCCTCCTTGTGAGAGATAGCAGCAATACCAAAGGCCGTAGACCTATGCCGCGGGAAAGGAGACAGTGAAGAGAGAAAACGATTAACTGGGTCGAAGGTTGAATACTTAAGCAAATTACTCCCTAACAAAAGGTTGTGGTATGAGCATCTGCCGGGCTGTTGACAACATAATTACACCTTGGTATGTAAAGCTCAATAAACATCATTCTAAACTGCACCAAAGGACCTGAAATCATCTGCTCCTGTCTGCGTCTGGATCATCCATCTCCTCCTGTGAAGCAATGGCAATAAAAGAGTAGGACAATGGAACATTAAAAGTTGCCATTACATTAAGTGGAATCGGTATGCTCTCTTCTTCATGTGTCCTCGTCCTTTCACCTATGACCCCTTGTATACACCCGGTGCAGCTAAACCCCGCCACCAAGTGTCCAAAAATAATATTGCAGTATAAATATCAATTAAATAAACTGACACGCCAACTACACCCATAACATGACTCCTACGACACTTATGTGCACTGTGTCTACTTCGAATGTAACTTTGACATTTTATACGTTTTGTGAATGCCCTATTTATCTAATAGTGTTTTATTTTTGTAATCTATCTTCTCTTATGCTGTCACAATGTACATTTCCCCTCTGTGGGACGATATAAAGTTATTCTGATATTCTGAAGGGCTATTTTCTTTATAATCAATGCTTTCTGTCTGTCTGTTCAACTCACTTTGTTTTCCTGTACCATCTGGGGCCCCCAGTGAATGTTTGCCTAGGGCCCCCACAGACTCTAGAATCGGCACTGTCTGTATTATTAATATTGTATTAGTTCAATATAAAACAAAAAACACTTAATATTGTATTCTTCTTGTCTCAGTTTCATACATGTTGTTGTAGGTTACATGTTGTTGTAGGTTACATGTTGTTGTAGGTTACATGTTGTTGTAGGTTACATGTTGTAGGTTACATGTTGTAGGTTACATGTTGTAGGTTACATGTTGTTGTAGGTTACATGTTGTTGTAGGTTACATGTTGTAGGTTACATGTTGTTGTAGGTTACATGTTGTAGGTTACATGTTGTTGTAGGTTACATGTTGTTGTAGGTTACATGTTGTAGGTTACATGTTGTAGGTTACATGTTGTTGTAGGTTACATGTTGTAGGTTACATGTTGTAGGTTACATGTTGTAGGTTACATGTTGTAGGTTACATGTTGTAGGTTACATGTTGTAGGTTACATGTTGTAGGTTACATGTTGTTGTAGGTTACATGTTGTTGTAGGTTACATGTTGTAGGTTACATGTTGTTGTAGGTTACATGTTGTTGTAGGTTACATGTTGTTGTAGGTTACATGTTGTAGGTTACATGTTGTTGTAGGTTACATGTTGTTGTAGGTTACATGTTGTAGGTTACATGTTGTAGGTTGTAGGTTACATGTTGTAGGTTACATGTTGTAGGTTACATGTTGTAGGTTACATGTTGTTGTAGGTTACATGTTGTTGTAGGTTACATGTTGTTGTAGGTTACATGTTGTAGGTTACATGTTGTTGTAGGTTACATGTTGTAGGTTACATGTTGTTGTAGGTTACATGTTGTTGTAGGTTACATGTTGTTGTAGGTTACATGTTGCATTTTCTCTTGAAATCAAAAGATATTATTACAGCCTAGCCAAGACCTTAGTTGAGCCATCACCCTTTTAACATTTATGTTTTTATGTGGTTGTACTGTCATAAAACAAATTAAAAAAACAACAAGGAAATTGTTCGATTTGTTTTAGAAGAGTATTTAAAGTCTAGCATTACAAAATGGACCAATGATATCAATCCCTCCATAAGAAACGATAACTTGCCTATTAAAGGTTAACAAACATAATTTGAGAACAACTCCATCTATAATTTTAGGGATTTCAGTGTAATGACTATCAGGTGAATGAATAATGTCCTAGTGAACCAAAGGCAATGCAGTTTCTGAGCTTTTAGTAGTTTTTAAAATGTCTCCGTTATGTTTATTTTGTATTGGGTGCAATTTGGTTTGGATAACTATTTATAGAAAATAAGGAGCATTCTTGATTCTGAGCTGTTTTGTTTGTGTCAATGCAGGTGAGGTATTATTGTAGAAGAAATGAAATCTACACTTCGAATAGTGTGGAATAATCTATTTTATTTTAAGAGAAAAACCAAGTAAATCTTAGTTTGTTTTCATTTAGGGCTGCTGTTTCCATGGCCAAGAATGATCCTGAATCTCATATTTACTATCGTTGTTCTTACTTTAATAAAAATAAACGTGTAATGATGATGAACCAAAACCCGTTGTGCACGTCATGAACTGTCGGAAGTAAAGCTGTGTCTCAGAGACGAGTGGTTTGGCTGTAGGCACTGTGGAAACTGTCTTTTTTAGTCTTAGATTCAGTTCTTCCAGAAGTTGGGGTTCTGGCTCATCCTCCTCTGGAAGTTCTCGTACCACTTGAGGACGCAGCTGGAGGGGATGAAGGTCTCCGAGGGGTTCGGGGTCATCTGAGCCTGCGTCACTGCGAAGGACGAGGCGAAGTTGTAGAGACTGTCCAACGTCTTCTGGGTGAAATGCAGGAAGGAGTCCGCGGTGGAAACGGCGGCGCTGGAGACCGGAATCTGCTGGCCGAGCTGATCCAGAGCCTCCACCGACACACCGACCTGAGACCAACAAGACATATGGGGGTCAAACAATTACTTCGTTACTGTACTTAAGTACATGTTTCTGGTATCAGTACTTTACTCCACTACTTATTTTTCTGACGACTTTTTACTTTCATTTCTTACATTTTGAACACAAATACCAGTACTTTCTACTTCTTACATGTTGAACACAAATACCTGTACTTTCTACTTCTTACATGTTGAACACAAATACCTGTACTTTCTACTTCTCACATGTTGAACTCAAATACCTGTACTTTCTACTTCTTACATGTTGAACACAAATACCTGTACTTTCTACTTCTCACATGTTGAACTCAAATACCTGTACTTTCTACTTCTTACATGTTGAACACAAATACCTGTACTTTCTACTTCTTACATGTTGAACTCAAATACCTGTACTTTCTACTTCTTACATGTTGAACTCAAATACCTGTACTTTCTACTTCTCACATGTTGAACACAAATACCTGTACTTTCTACTTCTTACATGTTGAACTCAAATACCTGTACTTTCTACTTCTTACATGTTGAACCCAAATACCTGTACTTTCTACTTCTTACATGTTGAACTCAAATACCTGTACTTTCTACTTCTTACATGTTGAACACAAATACCTGTACTTTCTACTTCTTACATGTTGAACTCAAATACCTGTACTTTCTACTTCTTACATGTTGAACACAAATACCTGTACTTTCTACTTCTTACATGTTGAACTCAAATACCTGTACTTTCTACTTCTTACATGTTGAACACAAATACCTGTACTTTCTACTCCTTACATGTTGAACTCAAATACCTGTACTTTCTACTTCTTACATGTTGAACCCAAATACCTGTACTTTCTACTTCTAACATGTTGAACACAAATACCTGTACTTTCTACTTCTTACACTTTGAACTCAAATACCTGTACTTTCTACTTCTTACATGTTGAACTCAAATACCTGTACTTTCTACTTCTTACATGTTGAACTCAAATACCTGTACTTTCTACTTCTCACATGTTGAACTCAAATACCTGTACTTTCTACTTCTTACACGTTGATCCCAAATACCTGTACTTTCTACTTCCTACATGTTGAACTCAAATACTTGTACTTTCTACTTCTTACATGTTGAACTCAAATACCTGTACTTTCTACTTCTAACATGTTGAACTCAAATACCTGTACTTTCTACTTCTTACATGTTGAACTCAAATACCTGTACTTTCTACTTCTTACATGTTGAACACAAACACCTGTACTTTCTACTTCTTACATGTTGAACCCAAATACCTGTACTTTCTACTTCTTACATGTTGAACTCAAATACCTGTACTTTCTACTTCTCACATGTTGAACTCAAATACCTGTACTTTCTACTTCTTACATGTTGAACACAAACACCTGTACTTTCTACTTCTTACATGTTGAACTCAAATACCTGTACTTTCTACTTCTTACATGTTGAACTCAAATACCTGTACTTTCTACTTCTTACATGTTGAACCCAAATACCTGTACTTTCTACTTCTTACACGTTGAACCCAAATACCTGTACTTTCTACTTCTCACATGTTGAACCCAAATACCTGTACTTTCTACTTCTTACATGTTGAACTCAAATACCTGTACTTTCTACTTCTTACATGTTGAACTCAAATACCTGTACTTTCTACTTCTTACATGTTGAACTCAAATACCTGTACTTTCTACTTCTCACATGTTGAACACAAATACCTGTACTTTCTACTTCATACATGTTGAACCCAAATACCTGTACTTTCTACTTCTTACATGTTGAACTCAAATACCTGTACTTTCTACTTCTTACATGTTGAACTCAAATACCTGTACTTTCTACTTCTCACATGTTGAACCCAAATACCTGTACTTTCTACTTCTTACATGTTGAACACAAATACCTGTACTTTCTACTTCTTACATGTTGAACACAAATACCTGTACTTTCTACTTCTTACATGTTGAACACAAATACCTGTACTTTCTACTTCTTACATGTTGAACCCAAATACCTGTACTTTCTACTTCTTACATGTTGAACTCAAATACCTGTACTTTCTACTTCTTACATGTTGAACTCAAATACCTGTACTTTCTACTTCTTACATGTTGAACTCAAATACCTGTACTTTCTACTTCTCACATGTTGAACACAAATACCTGTACTTTCTACTTCATACATGTTGAACCCAAATACCTGTACTTTCTACTTCTTACATGTTGAACTCAAATACCTGTACTTTCTACTTCTTACATGTTGAACTCAAATACCTGTACTTTCTACTTCTCACATGTTGAACCCAAATACCTGTACTTTCTACTTCTTACATGTTGAACACAAATACCTGTACTTTCTACTTCTTACATGTTGAACACAAATACCTGTACTTTCTACTTCTTACATGTTGAACACAAATACCTGTACTTTCTACTTCTTACATGTTGAACACAAATACCTGTACTTTCTACTTCTTACATGTTGAACACAAATAGCTGTACTTTCTACTTCTTACATGTTGAACTCAAATACCTGTACTTTCTACTTCTTACATGTTGAACACAAATACCTGTACTTTCTACTTCTTACATGTTGAACACAAATACCTGTACTTTCTACTTCTTACATGTTGAACACAAATACCTGTACTTTCTACTTCTTACATGTTGAACACAAATACCTGTACTTTCTACTTCTTACATGTTGAACACAAATACCTGTACTTTCTACTTCTTACATGTTGAACACAAATAGCTGTACTTTCTACTTCTTACATGTTGAACTCAAATACCTGTACTTTCTACTTCTTACATGTTGAACCCAAATACTTGTACTTTCTACTTCTCTCATTTTCCAAACAGCTGGTTCCTTTAGTCTGAATGTGTGTTTGGTGCGTGGTCATTATTCTTTAGAGTCATTGCGTGCCTATTGATTTGAACACGATCCGTGTATCCATCATTTCCTGGTCTTCTCTAAAGAAGAGGGACCAATGGAAACGTTGTCATGTTGCCGTTGTTCAGCATGGAAACATTCATTAGCTAACAATGACATTATTGTTCTATTAATATAAAGGGAGGTCAGGTACTCTTTAAAGCAGCTGCTAGCTATGGGTACTTTTTACTGAAGTACACTTCAAAGCCTCTTTACTTTGACTTGAGTAAAGAAGTTTAGTCAGTACTGCTGCTTTAGTAAAGGATGTGTGTACATTACATTACATTGCATTGCATTTAGCTGACGCTTTTATCCAAAGCGACTTACAATAAGTACATTCGACCAGGAAGACACAACCTTGAAGAAAACAGAATCATATATATATTAGGGCTGTCAGTCGATTAAAATAGTTAATCGCGATTAATCGCAAATTAATCGCACATTTTTTATCTGTTCTAAATGTTCCTTAGAGGAATATGTTTCAAGTTTTTAATACTGTTATCAACATATGAGTGGACATATATGCTTTATGCTAATGTTTATTATCATTTCAACAATGACAAATATTCTCATGAATATTAAACACAACAACCTCTGAACATTACAAATATCCGCCTCAATTCAACTCGAACGGGAGCTGCCTGGACGCTGCAATCATGTTGCGCACTATCCGTGCTGAGTGTGCTGACTTTTCGTACAATGTCCCACTGTCTGGCTTCCTGCATAAAGTCAAGTGCTCGGCGCAGTTGTCGGCAAAATGACGCTCCTCTGTTTTTTTTACATTACATTACATAGTATTTAGCTGACGCTTTTATCCAAAGCGACGTACAATAAGTACATTCGACCAGGAAGACACAACCTTGAAGAAAACAGAATCATATAAGTACATCAGGTTTCATAGAGCCAAACATTTCAAGTGCTACTCAACTGGCTTTAGATAAGCCAGTCCTTTATTAGTATATAAGTGCTTTGTTAATAAATCTATCGCTCGAAGTGGAGTCGAAAGAGATGAGTTTTCAGTCTGCGCCGGAAGATGTGCAAGCTATCTGCCGTCCTGATGTCAATGGGGAGCTCATTCCACCATCTTGGAGCCAGGACAGCAAACCCACGTGTTTTTGATGATGGGAACTTGGGTCCCCCTCGCAGCGAGGGTGCAACGAGTCGTTTGGCTGATGCAGAGCGGAGTGCACGTGCTGGGGTGTACGGTTTAACCATGTCCTGGATGTAGGAAGGGCCAGCTCCATTCGCAGCATGGTACGCAAGTACCATTGTTTTGATGTAATGTAATGGATGTGTGTACTTTTGCAGAGGTTTACACGTTTATATGATCATTATAAAAAAATAAGAGAATAAATGAAACACAGGTATGACAGTAAAAAAAGAATAAAGTTTAAAAGGGTGATTTGTAAAATATCCATAAAGAAAAGGTAAATCTGTTTACAGTTCTGTTTCATATGGGTGTTGAGAGATGTATCCATAGATCTCTTCATGTTGCTCTCAAAGTGCACCAGATTGATGCTTTTAACTTCAATATTTAAAAATAAATCTTCCCGGGGGAGCATGTCCCCGGACCCCCCTATGTAAGGTCCACACACCACTTATAAAATAGCACTTCACCCCTGCCTATATGCCGTGAGCTGATTCTCGAGCCTTCATTGTAACAGTCGCGGGTACACTGTGTGTGTGCGTGTGGGGATTGTTACAGTAGAACATTCCACTGTAGCGCCCAGTACATTAATGGAAAACCCTACATGTTTGAGCACCCTCTATGAAACGTCAAGCTTATGGGCGGCGCCAGAGATTTTCTGTTGGGGATGCTGTGGGGTAGCTTGCCGCTTCATAGAGGTTGCTCAAACATGTAGGGTTTCCCATTAAGGTAGCTATAAGGGCTACAGTGAAATGTTCAACTGCAACACTCCCCACGCACACATACAGTAGGCTACACCCGCGGCTGTTACAATGAAGGCTCGATAATCAGCTCACGGCATATAGGAAGGATAAAGTGCTATTTTTTATAAGTGGGGGGCGGACCAGCCTCCTAGGGCTGAAGTTAAAGTTAAATTATTGAAGTTAAAAGCATCAATCTGGTGCACTTTGAGAGCAAAATTAAGAGATCTATGGACACATCTCTCAACACCCATATGAAACAGAACTGTACACAGATTTCTTTATGGATATACAAATCACTCCCCTTTTAAACTGTATTCTTATTTTACTGTCATAGAGTATTTCATACCTGTTTTTCATTTATGCTCTTATTGTTTTATAGCCTAACTATAATGATCATATGAAGGTGTGCCTCGGAAATACTTGTACATAGATGGTGATCAAACTGTTTTGAGACCCACTGAGATAACTTAGACTAAAGTTAACTATCTAAACACTGAGAGAGTCCTTTACCTCACTGAGCAACATCTCTCTCTCGCTCGCTCACTCGTGCCACACACACGGAGCCGAGCTTGAATGAAACACCCAGAAGTAGGCTACTTGTACTGTACTGTAGCATATCATTTTCGAATCAATCGTTTTTCAAATTATGAATTTCACATATATAAAAAAAAACATACATTTCTTGGGGTTGCTTAGCAGTTGCTAGGCCAATTGTTGGTGTTGCTGTAGCAACTGCAAGCTACCGCCTGGCGCCGCCCCTCCCCACAGCACCCCCAAAATAAATCTCTGGCGCCGCCACTGAGCCTGCAACCCCGTTTTGAAGACATGTGCAGTGCAAAACAGGCTCATTGCAGCCACTAATGATAAGACACGCTTTTTTGCCAAATATCAGCATTTTCTTTCTTTTCATTTGTTTGCACAGATTGCAAAGTGGCAAAGTATTATAACTTATTGTTCTAGCAAAGGGATTGCACAATTGTATTTATTTTGTTGACCACACAGACGTATGGAGCATTGTTTCATTATCACTGTTCTAGCAAAGTGATTCTTTTAATTTTTTTTGAAAGGAATGCTCACGTTCATATTGATGTATTTTAATAAATGTTAACTTGGCCCATTACGTGTCTATCCAAAGATAGAAAAAGTTTGAGAACCACTGATGTAACGAGTGATGTAAAGTAACTACTAACTAAGATTTAGTACTGTACTTAAGTATTTAAATGTTTTGCTTTGTACTTCTCCTCCACTACAGTTCAGAAGTAAATGGTGTACTTTTACTCCACTACATTTATTTAATAGCTTTAGTTACTTTACAGCTGGTCCTCCTACCTGAGCCACGGAGGATGACAGCCGGGAGGAGGAGGCCATTATACCGAAGGGGTTTTCCCCGCCCTTCCCCGCCTTCAGGCCGGAGATCTTAAAGATGGCACTGGGCTTCTCGTTGGTGATGAAGCCGAGCAGCTGCCACACCGCGCCGCCGCCCGAGGGGTCCGGGAAGGAGAAGTGGACCGCTCCTCCGGTACCGGCGGGGAACGGAACCGTGCCCAGCATGAACACCACCACGTGGTTCACCTTCTCATAGTCCGGCAGGTTGAACACGAACTTGTCCGAGGCGACTTGCACCGCGTCTGTCTGCACCAACCTGCCGGCCACCAGACAGCCGAACATCCCGCTGCAGCTGCTGGAGGATTCGCCGTTAGCTTCGCTGTTAGCCTGCCTGGCTTCAGCTCCTCCTAGTTATTTAAAAACCCAGCAACACGTGTTATCCGGTAAAAGGCAGAGACATGACTCCCGCTGCCGGTGATGTTGATCTTAAAGATAGCTGTTACAGCCCGGTGGAAACTTCTAGTACAGTGTGGTGAAGTGCTGTAATGCTCGACTATCGATTATGCGTCCTGATAACTGTCCACTGTGTTTACTGTACTGAGGTCAATGCAAAGGGTTAATGTAGCCCTTTGTTTAGACTGACAGGCAAACCTTACTCCCGGCAGAGCAAAGACATTATGGGATGTGACCAACAGCTTTCTGAACATTCTGAGAAGTCAGAACTCAATTTATTTTAAACTTAAGTCAAAACCCAACATAAACATTTTTTTTTTTTACGAAGATCAGTGGACTATATTACAATATCATTTTATTGTTATTTGTTCAGTCTTGTAATTGCATTGTTGAGGATCCTGCGACAAGTGTTTAATTCATTACATAACTACACCTTAGTTGTGTATATGATATGATAATAAACCATTTGAATTTAAAATGTATATAACTTTATTTATCAGTTTTGCAAAACAAACTTACAATAACATAAATGGTTGAGCCTTCATGAAAAAAGTTGTGAGCATAACATCTTATTAAATTATATCACCAGAATCAGAATACCTTTTATTTATTACATTCATTATAATGATGGTCAATTAATCTAAGCTAATGCCTTAAAATTGTCAGGTTTTGTATTTATACATATTTATTTTTATAAATAACTACTTTAGCTGCAATGGTCACTCGAAAGGTCTTTAGTTTGACACTGAGAGAATGAACTCATAGGGCTGCTGATCACCATAAGCTAAACAGTCTGTATATTGCACTACATTTGTATAATGTAAGCTTCGTTGATACTTTGCCTGCGGGAATAAGAAAAAAATAGTTAGATATACTGGATATTATTTGATCTATTCCACCACTAGCTTAATCCCAAATAATGTAGAGGTGTGTTGTAGGTGCCTTAAATAACCCCTTATTTTATAGTGAGATGTATTTTTATGTTCATATAATAGTGATTTCAATACCACCCCAAAATGATCATTGGTTCCATCCTGGCCACCCCACTGAAAATGTCCTGGCTCCGCCACTGCCCAGAAGCTACTTCACTGGTTTGATAAGGGTGGGTCTTAATGCAGGGCACATTTCGCCCTTCTGTTTGTTGTGAGCCGTGAAGGCGCTCGATGATTCGGTTATCGACTTGAGCTAGATGTCAAGAAAGCAGGGCTGCAGTCGAATAGTCCAAAACTCAACTCCTAAGTTCTAACCCTATCATCTATTCCTTGACCTCTGAGTGAAACGTCATGGGGTTAAGGGATAGTGGATAGGAGAATTCAAAAGGACTTAGGAGAAGAGACTGCGGTACTTTAGAGAATCCGACTGCACTTTCACTATCCGACGTGTTTATGATGCGCCAGCTGACGTCATTTTGTGCGTCTGCTGCTGTGGGGAAACTATGGAAACTACAGTTTTCTATACAGCGGACTACATGTTTCTGTTTATTAAGGATCCCCATTAGCTTTTGCTCTTGACAAAAGCTACTCTTCCTTAGGGTCCGACACTTAAAACAATACAACAATAATACAGCAACATTCAGGACATAAGTCCTGACATTATTAACAACATCACCAATATCATCAACAATCTCCAACATCATCAACAATGTAATCCACTTTCAATATCAATCTCAGCAAGACAAGACACCCACCAGCACAAAGCATGAGATCAAATTAAATTAGGGTTCACAGCTCACAAGGGTACATGGTCATTAGTAGATGGCCCTTCAATCTCTTCTTGAAAGAGGCTCTGGACTCTATAGGCAAGGTAGTTTGGCAATAAGTTCCATTCCTTTATAAGACACTGAAGATTTCAGAAGATTTGTCCTGGGTTTCGGTGCCAGTAGATGGCCTGATGTAGCTTGTCTAGTCTTATGGTCATGCTCTCTTGTGTAAACTATTTGATCATAAAAATAGTGTTTTTTTGCTTTTAGAAAAGTGATAACACGAGATTGCAGACGTGGATGTTTAATAAGAACGAGGGACTGCTGTAAACTCATCTAGAGACTCTGCACCGTGCTCTGATGCTGTTGTTTTATGCTTTATGAACGTGGACAACAGAGAAACATATTCTTCATGACCAAAATTGGAATTTAAATAAAAAAGGAAAGTGAAACGTATGCTCCTCACCCTCTCCCTCCGGTCCACATTAATACAAATCTCTCTTTCTGTACACACAAACTGAAAGATTGACGTTAAAGTTGACTTTATATGTCACACACATACATGTACACAGTGACCTTTGACCTCTGCATTTAACCCCTCCTAGCACTAGGAGCAGTTGGCAGCTGCCTTGCTCAAGGGCACTTGATAATATACATTGTTTTTATTAAACGCCAAAATTGTACTAAGAAATAATAGGATCCTTTAAAATGTCAATCAGTAAGATTTGATGGTGAGTTATATATCTTTGGATGGTCACATAATAGGGATTCTGGATGTATATAATGGGGTGGGGGGGGGGGTAATGTTTTATTTAAATAGTTATTTAGGTAGTCAACAAAGAAACATAAAACACCAGAAACACATATTTGTAAGAATTTTGAATGTGATCATTTTCTTCAGCTTTAAACGGCGGCGCTCAAAATGAGCCCCAAGGATCAAAGGAAGACAAAAGTGAAGTCTCTGTTCTTTAATGTGAAAGTGAAGCGTCTCTGGCTGTCCGTCACTTTGGATCTGAGTTCAGTTTAGTCGTTTGTTACCCTCTTATTCTCCAAGTGCTCTAAAGCTTTAGTAAATCAAAGCAGCATTTACTCCTCATGGTGGCTCCGCTGTTACCCTGATTCTGGCCCAGTATCATCATTAACTCTACTCGTGAATGACTTCATTACTGCTCCTTACTACCATGCAGTGGTGTAACGTAGTGAAGTACATTTACTCAAGTATTGTACAATATTGTGGTACTTGTACTTTACTTGAGTATGTCCATGATATGCTACTTTACACTTCAACTCCACTACAATTTGACAATTATTTGACAAAATTAGGTACTAGTTACAAATTCAGATTAGCTAAAATAAAAGATCAATAAACTATGATATATAATTACATTACATTGCATTTAGCTGACGCTTTTATCCAAAGCGACTTACAATAAGTACATTCGATCAGGAAGACACAACCTTGAAGAAAACAGAATCATATAAGTACATCAGGTTTCATAGAGCCAAACATTTCAAGTGCTACTCAACTGGCTTTAGATAAGCCAGTCCTTTATTATCTTCGTTAATAGTTCTATCGCTCGAAGTGGAGTCGAAAGAGATGAGTTTTCAGTTTGCGCCGGAAGATGTGCAAGCTATCTGCCGTCCTGATGTCAATGGGGAGCTCATTCCACCATCTTGGAGCCAGGACAGCAAACCCACGTGTTTTTGCCGATGGGAACTTGGGTCCCCCTCGCAGCGAGGGCGCAACGAGTCGTTTGGCTGATGCAGAGCGTAGTGCACGCGCTGGGGTGTACGGTTTAACCATGTCCTGGATGTACGAAGGGCCAGATCCATTCGCAGCATGGTAAGCAAGTACCAGTGTCTTGAAGTGGATTCTAGCAGTTACCGGAAGCCAGTGAAGGGAGCGGAGGAGCGGAGTGGTGTGGGAACATTTAGGAAGGTTGAAGACCAGACGAGCCGCTGCATTCTGGATGAGCTGCAGAGGTCGGATGGCACATGCAGGTAGACCAGCCAGGAGGGAGTTGCAGTAGTCTAGGCGTGAGATGACGAGAGCCTGGACCAGAACCTGCGTGGCTTTCTGAGTCAGCTGGGGACGTATCTTCCTGATGTTGTAAAGCGTGTATCTGCAGCAACGGGTTGTAGCAGCGATGTTTGCAGTGAAGGACAGGTTGTTATCTAGGGTCACACCCAGATTCCTTGCAGTCTGAGTCGGGGAAACAATAGAGGTGCCGATGTTGATTGTTAGGTCAAGAGTGGGACAATCTTTTCCCGGAAGGAAGAGCAGCTCAGTCTTGTCAAGGTTGAGCTTGAGGTGATGAGCAGACATCCACTGAGAGATGTCAGCTAGACAAGCAGAGATGCGTGCGACGACCTGGGTCTCTGAGCGGGGAAAGGACAGAATTAATTGGGTGTCGTCAGCGTAGCAGTGGTAAGAAAAACCATGCGGGCTAATGACTGATCCGAGCGAGTTTGTGTACAGGGAGAAGAGGAGGGGACCAAGAACAGAGCCCTGAGGGACTCCTGTAGTTAATTGACAAGGGTCGGACTCAGACCCTCTCCAAGTCACCCTGTAGGTACGGTCTTTCAGGTATGAGGTGAGGAGGGAAAGTGCAGAGCCTGAAACTCCAAGTTTTTGGAGAGTGAGAAGGAGGATCTGATGATTCACCGTGTCGAATGCAGCAGACAGGTCCAACAGGATGATGACAGAGGAGAGGGATGCAGTTTTGGCAGTGTGCAGTTCCTCCGTGACAGCAATGAGAGCAGTTTCTGTGGAGTGACCTGCCTTGAAACCAGACTGGTGCGGATCCAGAAGGTTGTTCTGATGGAGATAACAGGAGAGTTGTTTAAAGACAGCGCGTTCAAGTGATTTAGACAGGAACGGGAGGAGAGAGACAGGCCTGTAGTTTATAACATCAGACGGGTTGAGAGTGGATTTCTTTAGGAGAGGGTTTACTCTTGCCTCCTTGAGACTGTTTGGAAAGTGACCAGAAGTTAGAGAAGTGTTGATGAAATGGGTGAGAAACGGTAGAATATCAGGAGCGATAGTCTGAAGGAGGTTTGAAGGGATAGGGTCCAGAGGACAGGTGGTAGGGGCGGGCAGAAGTAATGAGGGTAAGAACCTCACTTGGAGAGAGAGGGGAAAAGGAGGTTAGTGTGTTGGTGGAAGGAGGGTCTGGTCACAGGAAACTAAATAAAATAATCCAGTAATTCAATAATGATAGATTAAATTATCCAGCAGCAGTATAGAAAGTGAAAGTTGCTCCACTTTTATCAACACATGAATGTATTGTTATGACCGGCTCGTAGGCCACAACAGGAAAAGAGAGAGAGACGTTCGAGGGTTCCAAAAAACCACGGCACTTTTATTGTGGCGATTCCAAAACAACACTGAAAACATGAGAGGATGGGCGAGGGGAAAGGATCCCGGCGAGAGTCTTCCCACA